GGATCGAGTCCCGCATCGGGCTCCCTGCTCGGCAGGGAGTCTGCTTCTCCCTCTGACCCTCACCCCTCTCATGCTCTCTCATTCTCTCTCTCTCAAATAAATAAATAAAATCTTAAAAAAAGAAAAGAACAAACAGAAAAGTACATGACTCATGAAGTGTACAGCTCAATGAATTTTCACGAAGTGATCATATCCTTGTCATGAGCGCTCAGATCAAGAAACACAGAGCTGGGCTGACTACGTTTTAAGGACAGAGCCGATAGGATTTACTGTGGGGGTGGATGTGGAGAGCAAGAGAAAATGAGGCACCAAAGAGGACCCCAGGTTTTGACTTGAGCAAAGGCAAGAATGGAAGCCCCCTTGCCTGAGGTGGGGAAGGCTGAGGGAGGAGGGTGGAAGGGGACCCCAGAGTTGAGTATTGGATACTTCGAGTGGAGATGCTTACTAATACCCAATAATGTCAAGCAGGAAGTTGAATACATCGGGTCTGGGGTTCAGGGGAACGTTCTGGGCTGGAAATAATCTTACAGGGTGCTGCTGCCCCGACTTGGATCCACAAAATTGTTGCAGGCCACAAGGGCTGTGCCGCTTTGAGGAGCTGTGACACAGAATGAATGAACCAGCAGGCGGGCTCAGGGTCAGAGTGGATGCCGACCTTTGATTTCCTCCACCAGCCCAGCTCTGCCTGCTGCCCCTGCTGCTGTCACCCCTCAGTGTGGGGGCCCCCATCTCCCCAGCTGAGCCCATTAGTCAAGCCTACAGCCTGGCCCTCTACATGCAGAAGAATACATCAACGCTGCTGCAGACTTATGTGAGTGACACTGGGCACAAGCAGGGGACGAGGGCAGCGGGACACTGCCCTCCTGGCCCAGCCCTGGGTAGCGGAAGCAGAGCAAGGCCAGGAGAAGGTTCCCTCCGTGAGTCTGAGGGTTCCGGGGCTCTGTCAACTAGAGACTCGCTCGGACAGTGTCACTGATAGCTGGTGACCCAGGGCTAGTCGTTCCTTCTCTCTCTCTCCGTCTCAGCTCCCTCATCTGCAAAATGGAATTGTGATCCTGCTTTTGCTCACCTTGCAGGACTCTTAAAATATTCAAAGGCAGCACAAACAAAGAAAGACTTTACAGGGTCGTGATTATTTCCACAACCACCTCGTGCTGGGTGCTCACGTGAGCCCTATGCTGTGCTGGGCACTCATCCCCATTATCTCGCGGACTCCTCAAACAGTTCTGAGGGACGGAATTATAATCAGATAAGGAAACTGAGTCTCAGAGAGGGTGAATAATTTGCTCAAGGTCACACAGCTAAATCACTGGCAGTGCCAGGATCTTAAGCCAGGTCTGTGGCATCAGACGCCTCCCCCACCCCCCACACTGTCTAGAAGCTCAAACTAGCAGTCTCCTGGCTGAATCTGACCCACAGATGTTTTCTGTTCGGGCCATGAAATACTTGTTCAAATTTTGAACGTGGCTGCCTGTCTCAAACAGGCACAGGGGCCCTCCTAGCCCCTCACCCCATCTTAGTTCTGCCTTCTTCCCCAAGTTACACGATCCGCCTGGCCCCTAGCCAGGGTTTGTGACTCCTCTTACTGTACTATATTCCAGGCCCATGTGAAGTTACTAAATCTAGTTTCTAGTCCCATAGCTGCCACCATTCCCTGGGTAGCTTTGGGCACCCTAAGCCTCAGTTTCTTCACCTGTGAACTAGGGATGTAGGGCTAGGAGGTCTATCAATTTGGGGATTTATCAGTGTGCACCAAGATTCTGTGGGTCTAGGTTTGTGGAGGCGAGAACTGTAATGGAGAAGGCACTCAACTAAATTTAATAATGTTAACAATTATTTATTAATGATTCTAATAAAATAAGCACAAACAACTAAATGCTATGAATAAGAAAGAACCATATAGACTCTAACTACATTGTCAATTATTTAGACTGAAAATAGTATAATAAATAATATAATCACAGTGTCATGATATTAAGATATTATAAACAGTGGCTTATTATGCCCTTATTGTACGCCAGGAGCTGTGCTAAGTGCTTTCTATATATTACTTATCATTTGCACGAGAATACTGACGACTGGCAATTACTGAAGCTGCGATTCAAAGTTGTACAACTTGTACATGAAACTGCGAGGCTCTGTGCTAGGAGATGCCCACCAACTTCCCCTGGGAAGATGTCAGATGTGAAGTTGGGGGAGCCCCAGGGGACCACTTTAGTCCCCGCACTCCCGTCTGTCTCTGTCTCTCATGCAGCTCCAGTACCAGGGCAGCCCCTTCAGTGACCCCGGCTTCTCAGCCCCTGAGCTTCAGCTCAGCAGCCTGCCTCCTGCCGTCGTCTCCTTCAAGACCTGGCATGCCCTGGATGATGGGGAGCGGCTGGGCCATGCCCAGGGGGCCTTCCTGGCCTTGACCCAGCACCTCCAGCTCGTGGGGGACGACCAGAGAGACCTGAACCCTGGCAGTCCTATGCTGCTGGCCCAGCTCGGGGCTGCAAGACTCAGGGCCCAAGGCCTGCTGGGCAACATGGCTGCAATCATGACTGCTCTGGGCCTGCCCATCCCCCCAGAGGAGGACACTCTCGGCGTTGTCCCCTTCGGAGCCTCAGCCTTTGAGAGGAAATGTCGAGGCTATGTAGTGACCCGGGAATATGGCCACTGGACAGACCGAGCTGTGAGGGACTTGGCTCTGCTCAAGGCCAAATATCCCGGATAGAGGAGGCCGGACATCCTGTCAGAGGCTGCAACACTTCTTTCCCAATGGACTCTTTTCTCCCTTGCTTCTTGGCTAGAAAGGAGACACGTCTTGTCTAGCCGACAGGGCGTGTATATTTGGGAATATTTCCTAGGAACCAGGCCCCAAGTCCCTGTTGCCTGGGCCTTTCCTGCCTAGGTCCTATGGCCTCCCTTCCAGATCTGGGTGGGACTCTACAGGTATCATTTCGTGGAGTCTCACTCAAGCCAGTGGTCCTGGCTGCCCACATCCTGGGTGGAAAGAAGTGCCTTTTTGAAGAGGCTTTACTTCCCACTCTGCAGGGAGAGGACAGCCTGTCTCTATCCTGGGCTCTCCCTGAGACCTTCCTCTTCCTGTAAGTTTGGGGAGGTCGAGGGGCTGCCTTCTTGTCTCTACCTCACTTCCTGTGGGAAGCTATGGGCTTTCTGAGCAGAGAGGCCTCCCTTCTTGCTGGAGTTCATTGCCTCCCCTAGTCTACCTCCCTGACTAGGGCCACTGTTCCAACTCTCCATCTTGAGGGACTTCACTTCCCGATCAATGGAAGTCCAGTTGAAAAAAGTAAGGAAGACTCCTGTAGATGTTTCCAGCTCGGGGCACATCCACTTCCTGTTCTAGAGTGACTGATGTTATCCCTGGCCTGGGGGCATTTGTGACTCTCCTATTTATACTGTGGCCTTTGGGTCTGTCTGGGGGACCAGGCTGTGCCCCAAAGATTCTATTCTCCTCAAAGGTGTCTCCCCATTTTCAACAACTATATATACCGGTAACTCTAGTGTTCTTTTCATTTGTAAACATTTTATTTACAAAAAATTAATTTATTCTCAGAAATAAACTCTTTTAAGGTGTTGTTGATCTTTTCTCTCCATAGACCTGGCTTGGGGGGAGGGGAGGTGCAGGGACAGAGCAGAGGAGGTGAAGGAGGGGAAGGACATCCAAGGCAGAAGCAAGCAGGGCCCACCCAAAGGGCCGGGATGGGGGAGGGAGAGCGCAGCAGGGGGAGTGACGCTGTGGGAAGGTGGCTGCAATCTGTCTGCAGTAGCCCTCCCACCCGGGCTAGCAGGCACCTCCCTGGCCAGGGAAGGCCAGAGTTGATGAGGTGTCCCCTCCTTGAGATGAGGCTGAGAGGTACACATGCTCACCTGGGGCCAAGGAGAGCCAAGAGATGGAGAAAGGGGGAGACAAAGAGGCCCCCCAGAGATGGGTGAAGGGGGAGACCGAAGAGAGACGGAGGCAGGCCCAAGCGGTGGAGAAGAAGCGGGGCAAAGCAAGAAAGGATGGACACGGGAAGTCACGAACACACGGAGGTCCGACAGGGAGGCACGGAGAGCATACAAAGCAAAGAGAGACGACAGAGGCAGGAGAGAGACGGAGACGGTCGGAGCTCCCGAGGCACCGACTGAGAGACGAAGACGGACGCCGAGCGAGCTGCAGCCCCGCGCCCCGCGCTCAGGCCGGGCCCCCGGGCACCAGCTGGCCCAGGTCGCCCTCGGTTCGGCTCACCCACTCGCGGTAGAGGCCGCACACGCGGAGCCCCAGCACCTTGGCAGGGAAGACGCCCGCGGCGGCGGCGGCGGCAGAAGCGGCGGCGGCGCAGCAGCCCCAGTGGCCAGGGGCGCGGGACATGCGCACCGACGGCCCCGGGGGAAGCGGTAAGTGACCTCCGGGCCCCCCTCCAGTCCCCTCCGCATCCGTTCCTTCCCGGCTCCCGCCGCCCCCTCCCCGCGTCCTCCGAGCGGGGCTAGAGGCGCCGCTTAG